AGAGCACAAAATATCAGCTCCCTTCAGGGTGGCATCAACGCGGACCCAGAGAATTTCGGGGATTCCAGCCCTGAGTGGGGCAGAAGTCTCCTGAATTTCGGGGCACCCGGACCCACAGCAACACCCTCCCAAATTTCGGGGCGCCCACTCCTGAGGGAGGGGCAGATCCACAGCAGGATTTTGGGGCACCCGCTCTGAGCGAGGGGCAGACTCAGAGCAGACCCCTCAGGGGGAATTCGGGCCCCTCTTCCCGGATCCATCCCCGCTCCGGGCCGGGAACACCGGGAGAGCCCCGTGATGGGCTGGGAGAGCCCCGGGATTGGGGTCCTGGGGCCGAGCCACCCCCGGGATCCATCCCGGTCACACCGGGATGGGAGGGACGGGAACCGGCACCGAGCGAGCCCCGACCCCGGGCTCCGGCTCCGCTGCCACCGCGGCTCGGGGGGCACCGGGACCGCCCCTGGCCATCGGTACCGGAGCCGGTTCCGGCACAGCGGCTGCTCCGGGGCTGACCGGGAGGAAGGCGGTGACCAAGGGGGGCTGGAAACACCGCCCAGGCACCGGCACCGGCACCCACGGACAGCCGGCACCGCCGGACACCGGACACACGGACAGCCCGGGCACAGACACAGCGGCCCTGCCCGGGCACGGGCACCCCCTCAGCCACCGGCACGGCCGGGCAGGCCCCGCCGAGCCCCGGCGCGGCCGGCCCCGCGCGGGCAGCGCCTCCCCGCTGACCTCGGAGTCCTTCCTGGGCGGGCGGGCCATGTCGCGGCCCCGGTTGGGCGCGGCGGCCCCGCCGCGGCCCCTGTTGTTGTTGTTGTTGTTGCCCGGTGCCGGTGCCGGAGCCGCTGCCGGGCCCGGCCCGGGGCCGCCGCCCGCCTCCATGGCGGCCGCTCCGCCGCCAGCTCTCGCGAGGACTCACCCCCTCCTCTCGCGGGAGCGGCAGCGACAGCCGGGGCAGCGCCGCCGCCATGTTGGGAGTGGCGCCGCGGGACAACTCGGTGTGTCCGGTGGGGTGCGATAAGGCTCCGCCGCCGCTTTCGCCGCCTCGCCGAGGCCGCAGCGTCACGGCCCGGCCCTGCCCGCCCCCGCTGGCCGCGGGCGGCGCGGAGACCGGGGCAAACGGGGCTCCGCCCCCGCGCCGCCATACTGGGAGTGGCGCGGCACTGGGCGCCGCCATGTTGGGAGCGGCACTTCCGCCCCGCGTGCCCCCGGCCGCTGGAGGCCGCCATGATGGGAGAGGCGAGGGGGGACGAGGGGGGACGAGGGGGGCAGATCCCAAATTTAAGGGATTTAAATTTAAATCCCTCCATTTGAATTGAGGGAATTCTCAAATCAAGGGGCTTGGGGGGCTCAGATCCCAATGAGGGGGGGCCTGGCAGTGCTCGGAAGAGACCCAGACCCCAACAGAGGGACCTGATGGCGTCTAAAGCCCAAGTGAAAGTGCCCAAGGTGGGGGTGAGTCCCCAAAATTCCACCTTTTTAACAATGCTCAGGGAATTCTCTTGGGACCCAAAATCCACCTGGAGGTGGCCGAAGGCAGGTCCCATTCCCTACTCAGACACAGCTCAGGGTCCCCCCTCCACGACACCAAATAAACCTTCGGGAACCACGAGCGCTCGGCTTTTCCTAATAGTTTAATTCGATTTAATGATTTATTGCTCATCTGCGAGGATTAATATTGCATTCATTAAAAATCATTCATATACAAAATAAACCTCTCCCTGCTGCTGCTGCTGCCCCCGGGCCCCCCCCTTGCCATGGCTTGTCCAGACACGGAGCCCTTTGCGCCCCAAAAAGGTGGGAAAAGGGGGAGGGAGGGGGATGCCAGAATTCCCAAATGTGGGAGAATCCCAGCTCCTGGGAAAGGGGGGATGCTCCCACTCCCAGTCCATCCTCACAGACACCCGGCCTGGCTCGCTGAGCCCTCCCAGTGAGGTTTTGGGGGGTGGGGTGGAGGGGAACGTGATCCCCGAAATCTCCGGGGAAGGCGAGGAGGGCGATCCCCAAAATCTACGGAGCGACCCAGCAACATTCCAGGGTGGGAAGGGGATGAGAGGGAGGTGGGGGATCCACCAGCATCTCTGCCATCCCCCTCCTGTCCCCAGCCCTGCAAATCCCCGGGGGATGCCGGGGCTGGGGGGAAGGAGCAGCTCCAATCCCGGTTCCGCAGCATCTCCATGATCCCTGTACCGGGAGATGCCGGGATTGGGGCTGTTCCCTCCCCTCCCAGGGGCTGGAGCAAGGAAAGAGGCGGATTGAGGAGGAGAAAAAGAGCCAAGAGAAACCTTCCCGGGCTTGGAAGGAGCTTCTCCCACCCCCGGGAAAAGCTGTGGGAATGGGGGAGGGAAATGTCAGCGGGGGTGGGGGAAAAGGGGCTGGAAAACAGCCACGGGAAAAGGGGCTGGAAAACAGCCACGGGAGAGCTGGGAGGGCCCAGGGTGCGGGGAAGGCTCATCTTTGCATCCAGCTGGAAAAAAATTAGGGAAATACTCCCAAAAAACCCTCCCCAGGCCACCTGAAAGCTCCTCCCCCCCCACACTTCGGTGCTTCCTGGTGTGGGGGAGAGACAGGAAAGCAGCCACATCCTGGGAAACATCCCCACTCTGGAAAACAGCTCTGGAAGGATGGAGAAGGAAAAGAGGAAGCGAAAAAAAAAACAACCATGACTGAACAAAGAAAAAAGAAAAAAAACAAAAAGGTTTAAAACTCAATTAAGGTGCAGTTTGGCTAAAAAAAAAAAAAAAA